ACGAACATGAATATATGTGCAATTGATGCATAATAAAGAACTATTTTCATCATCACATCAATGGCCCTAGAGAGACAACTGCTGAATTGGCCTGCTCTGGAAACGAGGAAGTGTGGGATAGCCATGCTTCGGTACGAATGGCCTGGCTCGACTGGGTGATAGCGATTGGGGAGATTGGGAAACTGGTGGAGGGATAATTGGCTTGACATAGAAATATGATGACGTCATAAGTTGCGATCCAATACAAAATTCATAGAAAAGTATCGCTTTTGACATTTCAATAAAAGTATTGAATTTGGCTACCGTATTCACCTCTCCGGTAACCTCACTCACACGACGAAACAAAACGCAAGCGTTGTTTCACGTCGGTTTTCTGTGAGGCTGTGGTATCACTCTGGTCAAGCCAGCCCATTCGTGCCAAAGCGCGACTCTCCCACACTAAATCAGAAATTAACCCCCACGCTACGAACCGAAAATATTTAAACATCTTCCCAATAGTTCTTCACAAACCTTCATCCATTTCAATATTAAAAGGTTAGTTTACATGCAAACGGTTGCGTATGAGATCATTTCGCACACGCCTTGTCAAACATCACCTCCGTAGACATTTGTGCACAAAGCCCGTAGACACAAAGGACGCACGGCGGCGGAATCTACCCGAGCAAGTACACCGGCACTTAGAACATAGTGTATGGAAATACAGAAGGTGTAGTCTGATCAATAAAGTTGCTATATATATGCGTACAAATGCTGGGGTCAAGTACAATAAAACAAATCCCAGGATGATTTGAAACATCTTCGTAGAGAATTGTTAAATAATACAAGTATGGATTTTAATTTGAGACATAACATGTTCCTAATCATTGGTTGCATGTAAACCAGCTGTAAGAGTTAAACGAAATATCAAAAGGAATGCAATTTTTATAGCCTTTGAATGTAGGAGTCACTTTATACTAAATATTTTTAGTCAGATATCTTTTGTAAAATAATCCTACAAACCCGTATATCAAACGGTCACCGGTGACCGCTCTCCACTAACTACATTACAGACCTTATTTTCAATGTTTAGAGACTACTTTTGGATGAACAAATTTAGGGGATGATTTTCAACAATTTTCAACAGGTTAATCATTGAACATCTGCGTAATTATAAGATAAATAGCATAAATATGAAAACAAATGAGACTTATATTTTGTAAACGTCTCATTTTTGCATCGTGCAATAAGAATGGAATCAAACAACTTTTTTGTTAAAGTAAAACTTCTGTTTAAATATCTGTTCCATGAATTTATTTCCAGACAGTTACCGTACGGGGTTTTAGTCTAGAGACAAACTTGAAATAGAGTTTCTATGAAACAAACGCAATTTATTGTGTTGCAAAGGAAATAGACGGTGAAAAAATTGTGGCCAGTGACTATAAAGGAAACTAGGATGTAAAGATGTTTAATGGTTCTTACCGGATAAACAATGTATGACTTTTAAAATTTTTTAATAAACAAGAATTTTTATCTCTCTTATTCAATTTGACTCTTTTGAAACGTCACGTACGTTTCAAAAGAGCCAAATTAAGGAATAATTGAAATAAATGCTTTGACTGCGACTTCTAATTATTCGACATTATGATAAGAGTTTGTTACTGAACTTTGGCAATAGATCCGTCACATTTTTGGAACGAACAACACGACTTTGGCAAAGTACTTCTGCCCTTCTGATACTATGCTGAATAGATATTCAGGAAAACCATTATAAATAGCATCTTAAGTTTTAACTAAAAAATCTTAAGTTTTAACTAAAATAATCGCGGGTTACTCACAATGGCATCACACATCAAAACATCGCCGAACGACGCCAACGAAGCCCTCTATGGTTCGAAACTAGTAGAGCTTTTCTGAGTATATTCACGTGAGTAACCCACGATTTTTAGTTAATTTAGTATGTCTCACGATAGTTACCTTAAGTTTTATCGACATACACACATGCTACATTATCTTGTAAGTGTCTTAGTTTATTTACAGGACGTTGAATATACATAATGTTAACAATCCAACCGCGCAAAAAGAAAATTGAAACCCGAACCAACACAGACTACAGAGACTGTTCGCGGCAGTTTTCCAAACAAACAAAGTATACAAAACATTATAAAATGTTCAATAAACCACGAAGGAAAGTTTGAGTTTCTTAAATTTACACAGCTTTTCTTATCCGAGTTGGGTTATTTGATTCGTTCGCGTCCCACTTTTCCAATATTCCGGCAAGCGAGAATTTTGAAGCTGTCCAATTTTCCAAGATATATCGAGCGAATATAGTACTTACGTGTTTGCCATTTTGGCACACAGGCGAGCTGCATAAGCGTGAAAGTGGCACTACTTAAAAAATAAGATGAAAAGAAATTAACCTAAAAACATTTCCACTATGTTTCTGAAGGTAATTTTGTGAAACTAGTACCTCGTTCCATCGTGTAAATTTCTATGAAGAACGGGTATTTTCGCTTATAACCTCTTACAAAAATACGTTACTTCCTGAAAATATTATACTTTCTAGTACATAAATCGCTCAGGCGTTTCTTAAGCCCGTTTAAGCCCGTTCTTTGAAGGATTCTGTATCAAAGGCTATTGTGATGCACAATGAATACAGCGGTTTCTGCCCCATCACTTACATGCGCTCTGAACATTCTTTCGCTTTGTACTACAATATTACTTGCGAGAGATAAACACTGCGTTTCTTTTATTCAGACTTGTTGCAACATTATTCTATGTGTGTAGCAAAAGGGTTACTCTGAAAGAACATTTTCTTTTCGTAAGATTGAAAGAGCTATCTAGATACCCTAGCAATCTCCAAGCATACTGTAATTATGAGCTCTTGTCGTGGTTTAAAACTACCGATTTTGGTGCAGTGGCTGGGTAACGTGTCGCTGGTTCGCTTCCCGCACGGAACAACTCAACAATAGTTATACCGGATCTGGGTGTAATGAGTATGTTTGTAAAACGACTCTACGACACTGGATAAGATCTTAATATAAGGTAAAGTTTACTTCTAAATCAAAATAAACTAATACAGCACTTTTGTCGAATCAACTACGTATATGTAATTAAGCCAAAATCAAAAGAACGTTTCAGATTTTAGACCTTATTGCTCTGATAACGTAAAACCCATGATTATTTATTAAAACCAACAATAATTACGATACCCAATAGTTTAAACTTTTGAACTCGATCCTAAAAACTATGGCTAAAAGGGTGACTATCCGTATCGGCCTACAAGCAAATCCTTTTAAAGTGAAACTGTTAATCTGAATTACTTGGACAGGTCAGCAGAGTATGTTACGCTGATCCATTAATATCAATGTTAGAAGTGTTCATTGGAATTTATTGTTAGAGGAGGCTCTTCTTGAGAGTGTTACCGGTGGTTGTGGATATAACTGCTGATCTTGAAGTTCTTATTTCGATTCAGTGAATAAAAATCATGACTTTTTGTATTAGGTCTTCTGCGCTGTGACTATTTGATAACCAAAAGTCCATTATGTGCTAGTCTTTCCACAAACCCTTTCCACCACAATCACACTTTCGTCCATCTTACCGACAAGGCTATTTTTCACTCTCGCCTAGTTTCTCACAACTTATATTCCTATGCATCTGTGTAAAACTACTCACGATAATACAGTCTTAGAGTTACTGTACACGGTACGCCGTGAATGAACAATGTTGGCTACACATCAGGGTGTATATAACCAGTAAAAGCTGACCTTTAAATGAGCAGAAAGATGATACAAAACGAGACAACAATAAACTAGATCTAAAAGATAATGATTTGCAGGGCTGGTGACTATAGGCATTATCGTGTTATAAATCATCATCCCACAAATAGAATGGAAGAAGTAAGAAAGAAAACCGTTTTTTACTCCATGACACACACGCAGACAACAATACAAGTACACAAAGAAGTCCATGGTGCATCGTAGCCCAAAAGGCCGAAGCTAAGCTCAATGCTGCGGCCCGAGCACGAAGGCTCGAGTCCGCAGCGCTTATTTTCACCCCATTTTCATTTTCAAATATGTAGCCTTACAGGGCAAACTCTATTCGGAAGGTTAAATAATAGTTAGACTAATACATCTTGTGTCTATTTGTATTAAACTACTCACAACTATATCAAACTATTGCTATTACAGTTGAGAGATTACTTCAGTAGTCACACTGGCAATAAACAGTCGATTTGATTTCATCGGGGATTAGTAATCACGCACTGAGATTGGTGTAATGAAACATTATAATTTGATGACGGTTTGTAGTGTATTACCATTTATATACCTACTAATGTTAATAGTGAATAGCAGTGATAATAATTTGCAGGACTTAATCGTAGCCTGGATAGTCACTGTCTTGCACACACAAGTTACACGCTGGATTAGTTCAAACAGATTGTTGAATTTTTAAGTCTACTTTATGTTTCTGCACAAAAACTGTACTTGTACGGATTGAGATTGTTGAAAAGCAATGAACTATAGATTATCAATCATTGTTATTGCTCATTGAGAAAATAAATATGATATAGTTTTCAATTTTCTGTGAGTTATGACCAATATTCTGATTCGTAGGAATTTCCCAGAATACTATCAGTATTTGGCAATGGCAATGCGTTTAACCAATAACACATTCAAATGGAGAGCTATTTTATCAATAATATCTCGTATTAATACTCCGAGCAATTTATTTTAGAATACCGGCAACTCGCCAATTATGGAATTAGGGTTAAATTTAATAGACAATGCCTATACGTTTGTCGGGCAAACTTCCAACCCGGATAGTTACCCTGAAATTGAGTAACCTAAATTACCTACTATTTAGGAACGCCTTCCTGTAATGTACTCCCTGACCCTATTAAAGCCATGAAAAGTTACTTTGAAAGATGAAACATACGTATCGCAATAATTCGTGTCAATATGGTACACAATTTGTTGAAATAAAATGTAATAACAATATATTTGTATGTACAAAGCACTCACCTAGAATTTGATCTCTTAGACGAGTCGTGTTTCTTCCCTCCTTGCAGATTTGGCAGATCCTTCTGCCGTTTCTTGGTTTCCCTCCATATTCTGTAGTAGAGTATACACATGACAGTCACTGGCACATAAAACGCCGCTATAGCTGTCCCGAACGTAATGAACTGGTTCGTCTCTATGAACTGAATATAGCACTCATGAGGGGGCACTTTCCGCTCGCCGTCGATGTACGGCCACGCGTAAATCCACGGCGGCCACAACAATAAACTGAATCCCCACGCACCTCCTATCATCATCGTCGCTCTTCGTGTAGTCCTTTTAGCCCTATACGTCAACGGTCTCGTCACACTGAAGTACCTATCGAAACTTATGATGAGCAAGTTGAGCACAGACGCGTTGGACGCGAGGTAGTCCAGGGCCAGCCACGTGTCGCACACGTGTGGGCCCAGCGGCCAATAACCGTAGATGGTGAACATGGTGTACAGCGGCATCGATATCAGACCCACGGCAAAGTCCGCCACAGCCAGGGAGAACAAGAAGTAGTTGCTTATAGTCTGCAGCTGTTTGTCGATCTTGAAGCTGATCATCACCATGGAATTGCCGACGACGGTGAGCACCGATAGGACGCTGGCTATGATGGCGATGATGATCTTCTGCGCGAGACTGTAGGGGCTGGTGGGGAGGTCGGTGCCGAGCGCCAAGTCAGTGAGGTTGGCCGAGTCATTGAACGCGATGAGCATGCTGTCAACTGGGCGAACCGCCGCCCGCGGGGACACCCGCGCCCCGCCTCGAGCGCCGACCGAGCGCGCTCTCGCCTGCACACACAGACACAAACAATTACACGCCATGCATTACATGAAACATCACAATACCTCCTACAAGGTAAGTACAGGGGATTCAATACAAGGCCACGCACACAGGGGGACATAATGGATGGTAAATTGCTGAAGCATACAATTGCAACGCGGGGCTTGGGTTATAAATCCTACATCGTTACGCTTATTTAAGTAATTCCCCCAGTAGACGTTTGTACATAAAATATGTGCTGTTATCATAATGGCAATCTGAATATAAACGGCCTGTCATTATGGAATGAACATCACAAACAATCTACATTCATACCAAATGATGCGTTTGTTCTACTCTACGTGTGTACATACATTGGTTGTATACATTTCAGATAGTATCTGTGGCTACTGGTACGCTACTTTGACCGTTCCTAGATAATGGTTTTCCCATGTACGAAATGCGTTTTGATATGTATGCATAGAATGATTACTTTTGCGAGGTTTTAGGTGGGCAGATCCATCATGTTTTGACAGGGCGCGCAATATGATACCGCTGACCCAGTTCACCGTACAGTTTTACTCGCTATCACTCGAGATGTGAATAATATTCTAGTGTAGACAGCAAGCATAAAAGAAAACTAAACGCTTTGGGAGTTTGGATAAAAGATTTATTTGTTCCATTTATTCGGACAGGCAGAGGAAACGAATAATAAAAAACTTCACACTAGTGCTTGTGCACACAATATTGTTGTAGAAAAAGCTGTTTATTCAAATTTTCATTATGTTCGTATTGTAGTAGAAAATAATAATATTGAAACTAAATTTTAACATAAAATATGGACCAATTCGTAGCTCTTATCCAATCAAATGGGAGACAAGAATGACGGTAGGTACTTATGTATCACAAACTATTTCTATTTACCATTGCACCAAAAACCACAAAAAGCATTTTGGGTTAAACCAAAAAAAGAACCAATCGCGTCAAACTAAAAACTTGCAGACAATACACGCGACAACGTTTTGAAAAACATTTGCGAGCGATAAACAAGCCGGTAAACTAGTTCAATAGTTCAAACAAGCGCTGGCGAACTTTTCATTTGTTTGGGACGATTTTGTATGGGGGTGAAACCGGGTAAATAAACCTAACAATATATTAACTAGCTAAACAAAGGCCGGTACACAAAGGAGTTAGATCTAAAGCCAGTTGCTACAAAGTTGTACAGGATTCGTAAGTGCATTATGTAATTAGTTTTGTGCAAACTTGTATTAATTTCGTAGAGGTTAATTTTCACTGGGCTTGTGTATAAACTCGTATTTAATTTTTTGCTCTGTGGACTTATTGTAGATTCCTTTCAATTGGGTGCAATAAACTGTTATCATTCGTTCATAGCATTGTTCTGATGTTAAGAGCTCCTTTTACAGTACAAATAAATAAGAACTTAATACTAAAATCTATATAAACAAAAATGAATTATCGATCATTTATCTCCCTAAAACTCGAGAACGACTGAATCGATTTGGCTAATTGTGGACTTTGAAATGTTCGTGGAAATCCAGGGAAGGTCAGAAAAAAATTAGAATTTTTAAGCGATACGAAGTTTACCGGGTCAACATGCTTAAAATAAATGTCACGTATCGTCATTTTCCATATACAATATTCCCGAAATTGTGTTGTTTTTCTCAAGTATAGTATTAACAAGTTAGGAAGATAAACAAAGCAATACATTTAAAATGTTAAAGTTTTCCGGAGGTAGTTAGAGTTTGTAAGAAAAGCGCAGCCGTAAGCGCCCTACATCGTTCGCGGCAATAATCCGTAACTAGTTCACACCGGCACGTGCCGGATCAAACTGGTTTTAATCAGTTCATATGGAACTTGAGGGAGTTTTTCCGTATATGACTCTACGTGTTATGTTTTTTGCGGTTTTTTTGCCGATGTGTGTTCAGAATAGAGATGATTTGATAATTGTCGACAAAAAAACGTTTTTTTTTATTTTATACAATAGCAAGATTTCAAAATAATGAGTTTAATGACTTTTGCACTAAGACGAATTTGATAAAAATAAGGCGTTCACAAATGTGTTTGATGTTATTGATACAAAACGTCGAAGTCTGGAATCGCTCCCGGTACGTAGCGATAAACCGTGCATATTAAAAAAAGACTTATAATATATGCGAAAGCTGGATAGTGGGAGAAAAACAAGTATGACGTCATGGTTATATAACATGTTAACTTGTACCTTTGTCATTTCAGTGGCATACATACTCTCTTAGAAAGAGGGGTATGATATCGTTGTACCTAACTTTAAAATAAAACCATTTCTCGCGTCAATGAATTTTATTAACCAGGAAAGTATTTGGATATGGGTAGCTAATGCCAAGAAAGACAATATCTCTGCTTATTTTATTTTTTCAAAAGTTATAAATCAGATGTCAGGTTAAGGCCCGAACTATACTATTGATGGAAAAATTACAGTAGTATTTGAACAATACAATGTTTTTTGAGACTTTAGTAGGTACATACGTGAGTACGTGCTTAATGCCTTATCCTTTTCATTAAAATAATTTCTAGTATGATTCATCTAGTCAGTATGATTTGAGATGAAACGTAAAGTACCTACATCCAAATTGAAATAGCTGGCATTTTACAGAGAGACAGAATTAAAATATCTAATACAAACCCAACATTTGTCTAAGACTACAAGTTGGTATATAAATGATAACTTTATCTTAAATAAACAGTGTAACATGGACAAAAAACCAAAACAAATATCAATTTGTAGGCAACACAAGGATACTATCAAAAACTTATTTGCTTGTCTATCGAAGCATATCACATTTGAATGAAACACAACAGAAATTACTGTTTACCGAAGTTCCCCGATCAATTCCGAAAATAGCCGAATGGACTCAACATGGCGGAATGTTGACAAAATTTTTGCAAGTATTTGAACCTTATCCGCGGGGTCTTATTTATGGGTAGTGGTGCGTTCATGGGCAGTACCCCCATTATACATGGTGCCCGTCGCTCTACCGATCAAAGGCACTTTTCAGCCATTGTTTTTTACGTAAATAGAATGTTCAAAATAAATTATGAGTTTGATATTGAGTATTTTATGAAGTATATATTATGCTGTTGGATATCTATATAAGTAAAAATGTATTTCTGTTCGTTAGTCTCGCTAAAACTCGAGAACGACTGAACCAATTTGGCTAATTTTGGTCTTGAAATGTTCGTGGAAGTCCAGGGAAGATACAAAAGATGAGAAAATGGTGTTTTAGGCGGTACGAAGGTTGCCGGGTCAGTTAGTTAAATATAAAATACATACATTGTTTTACACACTGTGTCTCAGTGTTGTTATTTCTTTTCCTGCCACAGGCCCACAGGAAGAAATTCCAGTTGGAATATGGGGGGGGGCCTATGTACTCTGTTTTTTTTACTATGTATTGACCTCTGTGTTGAATGTAAATAAAAGTTATAAATGTAAGGATTGCTTTTTTGAGACGAATAATACTTATATAAAGCACTTTAAATGCACTTCGTGGAATTATAACGATGAACACTTCATCTGTTTAATCTATAGTACCAACAAATCAAACATAGAAGCACATTCTTCACACCCGTTTAAACATTAATTCTACATTTGACTGCACGGTTGGCACGGTGGTTGGGCAACTGGCTTCCGCCCAACATGTCACGGGTTCGATTCCTGCACGGAACAACACTTTGTGTGATCCACAGATTGTTATTCCGAGTCTGGGTGTCATGTGTATGTGAACTTGTATGTTTATAAACGCACCAACGCCATAGGAGAAAATACTAATGAGGGGCAACATTTAAAAAAGAATATCATAGTCCTTACTAATATTATAAATCTGAAAGTGAGTTTATCGCCATAACTACTAAACCAATTGCTATGAATTTTTGCAGACGTATAGTTACAAGTCCGGATTAAATAATAGGGTACTTGTTATCCCGGAAAAATTTGATATTCCCAAGGGAAAACAAAAGTATGGGTATAGATGGCGCTGTGTGTATTGGTATATGTCACATTGGCTTTTTATCCTTTTGTGACGCGAGCGAAGCCGCGGGTAAAAGCTAGTGATAAATAAATACAGTACCAATTCAAAGTTTTAAAAACAAATAAAAGCAATACTAGCGTATGACAGCAACTCCAAATCACCATTACGCTTCGATGGAATTTCCAGGAATCGTGTAAGGTATTAAAAGCGATTGTTATGGAAATCTGTAAAACAAATGGCAAACTTTTGCCCGGCACACGAATTCCGTGGAAATTACCAAATGTGTATAATTAATTAATGTATTTCAAACGAAGTTGGTGCCAACGCTGAGCGCATTACAATTTTGCTTTGGTCCAAGTTAGCGTCTCTAGTTCCGTGAATATAAATTGGACAAAGTACTTATGATTAAATGCTTAGGGTGTATTAAACTAAACAACTTCATATTGGTGTGTTCATTATATTTTGGCTTGATCTTAGCACATCGGTGGATGAAGAATCAGAATTATATCAAAATTCTCTGTGTGTGATGCGACTGCCGGGCATTGGTCTCAGGTTCGATTCCTGGGTCGAGCAAAGTATTACTGAGTTTTATAAGATAAAATTCTCACTAGTAGCACGGAGTCTGGAATTGTGCCCGGTATATGGCAACCGGCTCATCCTTTTATTACGTGAAACCTCACCTCTACCCAAAACACGGGGTGTGTTTAGAGGTGAGGTTTTCGATGCCCACATTTCACCAGTCATAATTATTATGAAGCCCACATCATATACAAGTATAATTCTAAGACTGCATTTTTTTCTTTATTTTCTATTATATGCATGTCATGTAATGTCATGGACCTCCGCTATTTCTCATGCACTACGCTTCAACTAATCTTGGCCGTTAGTAACAGTTTGCAATACAAACGTTCCTTGAATATTCACCCCGCACCAAATACCTCTACTGTTATTAAATACCTCGCTCCTGAATCTAGATAGACATGGATTTATATCAGTAGCTATACAGGTTGCTATTGTAACTAGAGATCAATTATATTAAATTTGCTATTTTGCTAACTAACTATCCTTACTATCCTACTAATAGTATAAATCTGAAAGTGAGTTTGTTTGTTTGTTCCACCTTCACGCCGTAACTACTCAACCGATTGCTTTGAATTTTTGCAGACGTAAAGTTAGAAGTCCGGATTAAATAATAGGGTACTTTTTAACCCGGAAAAAATTGATATTCCCGAGGAAAAACAAAAGTATTGGTATAGATGGCGCTGTGTGTATTGGTATATGTCACATAGGCTACTTTTTATTATTTTGTGACGCGAGCGAAGCCGCGGGTAAAAACTAGTTCTAAATAATTGAAGAAACAGCACGTTATCATATCGGAGATCACCTACTACCGTATCACTTTCGCACCCAATGAAGTCATACCGAGGCAATAAAGAAGAAAATAATGTCATAAAATAGAAAACCAAACAACGTCCACCATTAATAACAAAAGAAATTATAATTGCGACCTATCGGAAAGCACGTCACGTACGTCTGTCCATCATTAATACCGGCACGCAATTAAACAAAACATCGGAAGAATATTCCGCGCTCCATATTCAAACAATCGCGTCTGATTGACGGGCGCGCGTGACACGAAAGCGCAGCGCCAGAGACACCATCCGACGTATTCGAATATGGAATCATTTGTACTGACGTCATTTTTAAATGTCGAATGGACTTCTTGGCATAATATATTGGGGAAAAAATTAAACATTAATTTTTAAAAGCATAGAATACAATCATGACATGACACATTGTCAACAGCGCGTTAAAATCTACTGCCGGCCTATGATGTTCCTTTACATTAGGATACTTGTCATAATATTCTTAGCAAAATTTTCGAGTAGGAATCGATAAAGGTATCTACTGTCATTCTATTGATTTAAAGTATTGGACAAGACTTATCAGGCTACACAAGCACCAATACAAATCTATCATGCCTAAAAAATCTCATACTTCTCAATCATAGCACCTCAAGCAATCACACATTTACATAGAAACTATATTGTTGAGCTCGTAAACTACGTATCAGTGCATATTTAGGGGTGGCAAGCGGTTCATAAATTTTGTATTGCGCTGCTGTACTACCAGGGCTGACCTAAATAACAATATATGGCCGGCATCGTTACTCTGAGTCCGAGGGAACATAGTTAACATGAATGTGCAAACCTTGATTTGTAACAGCTCTATTAAGAACTACAAAGATTACGTTAATATTTTGAGTTCTTCGTTTGGAAGAATCAGGCAGATTACAAATATAACAACTATAAGTTTAATCGCAAGAATAATCGTTTTATTCTTATGTTTATTAATACTCAATCACTCACCTTAAAATACTCAAACGTCACTCAATTTTAAGTCGTGCTTAAGTATAGTTCTGTCTCTATAATTTTTTTGTAAAATGACAGAGATGGCACGATATTTAAGTACGTACGACTAAAAATTTGCCTTTTTTCTGGGAAGATTTAAAAAAATCCGCTAAGGGCAGCACCAGTGGGGGGTACATATGTTTTGAATTCCCTATTGACATGTACTTCTATAAAATGGGCTACAGAAATAGGTTGACGATTTTGGCTAGGTATTATTTAATTTGTGCATAAGTATAAAACCTATGCACAAATTAATTACTAAATAAAATGCTAATGAGTTAATGCCCTTTTAAAAAACTTTATTTATGAGTGTAAATGAGCCTTAAAATTATTAAAACCTAACAGGAGAATTCATCAAAAGTCTTCTCAGAGTCTCGAAACAAAATTCCTTCAAACCTGTTTTAGGTAGTAGCCATTATTTTTAGTCGTATTTGGTCCGAAGATACTCAATTATTATAAACTGGTTCTGTACTTAAACAAATAATTAAACGAATGAACGTAAAATTATCAATATTATATTTTTATCTCGATCACCATAACATTGACAAAGGTTGCCTGGTAGATATCGCTTTTAGCGATAAGGCCGCCTTTGTACCCTATTTTCTTTATTTGTTCCTTGATGTACTGTCTCAAATTGGTGTACAATAAAGATTATTTATTATTATTATTATTATTTATTTATTATTGACCAATGTTAACAAGATAAGATTACTTAAAAGAAACGTAAATCAGTATCATATATTACGGTCAACGTCGATAAAAAACGGAACGAAAACGAGTTAAAATTTACCACGCTTTAATTTGAAATTGCGATCTTATAATACATACATACATACACAACATCACTCCTTTTATCCCCGAAAGGGTAGGCAGAGGTGCACATTACGGCGCTTAATGCCACTGTAATGTAACACCCACTTTTCACTATTTATGTTATGAGTCCCATGTAATAGGGGGTGAGCCTATTGCCATATACCGGGCACAGTTCCAGACTCCGTGCTACCACTGAGAAAAACCCAGTAATACTTTACCCGACCCGGAAATCGAACCCGAGACCCCTTGCCCGGCAGTCGCACTTGCGACGACTCGGCCAATGAGGCAGTCTTATAACTATAGCAGTAAAGTCTATTGTCAAATAGAAGATAACATTGAATGAATGATTTACTTGCTTTGCACTGAATACGCGATAGTGCCAGTTTTATTTAGAGGTCTGACCATAGAAATATTAAAAAAGGAGAGGTGGCAAAGGGACGTGGCAGAGAGAGTAGAAAACTAAATGTATGGGTATGACACTGACAAGAGTCAAAATTTACATCAATTTTATATAATTTGGTTTTCTATTCTACATGTAGACAAGCGCTAAATGGCATTTACTACAGCTGCAAGTAGTTATATTTGTTCACTTGTTATGGTTATACTATTTTACTTTAATCTTCATAAATGAACCATTAGGTTTGTATGCATTATAATGATCATCATTGCATAGTTATAATTTTGTACTCACAGAGACTGCTCTGTGTCGGTGTCCAAGAAATAACCACATTTATTAATAAAAGCAGTCATGAAAAAATATACCACATTAAGACTTCATTAATTAACCAAGAATGCGATCCCCTTCTTATCCAAATTATATCATTATAACTACATACAACTTGTCGTTTGATTTGTAATTATTTTTAAATATTTTTTATTAATTAAAGAATATTTTGTCGTGTAAATTTATCGACATATTCATCGGGAGCTATCGATATCGTCAAGTCATTACGGCAATGGTAAATCCCGCCCCTATCACACGGTGACCAATTATTTTAGTGTAACTAAATCATCTTGGAGAATGTGCTCTGTTGTTTAACGAATAAGGCTTATATTTGAATTACTGAGTTATCGATGCCGCATGTGTGCCCTTATTCGTAGTACTGTTTTGTCAGAACTGTGTGTGTAATATTGGTTTTATGGAGGGGCAGTTGTGGCTTCACCGGTTTTCATTCTCCTTTATTATACCTATGGTTCTGACCATTGCCGACGGCGTCCTGTGAGCACAGTACCGGCCTGAGGATGGTGCAAGTGATAGTGACTGAGGGTGTGTTGGAGGGAGAGCGAGTGGACAACCACTACGGAGGCTCCTTCTACAGCTTCAAGGGAATACCGTACGCACAACCACCACTCGGAAATCTGCGATTCAAGGTATATATTATGTGTACCACATAAGAAACATATCATCCAAAAGTTTCGTTTTACATATAACCTTGGTTGACATAATATAGCAACAACTAAAAGTGTGATCTTTGTATTTAATAAATCAGATACATACATATACATTCAGTTCAAACTGAGAATCTCCTTCTTCTTTTGAAGTCGATTAAAAAAATATCCTAATTTTTATTGGTAGTCAAATCACTAATGGAATTATTCGTTTATTTTAATGTCGTGTTTGTTATTATCAAGACTTATTTATCGGAATTTATCAAACAATGTTGTGACGGAACGCTAATAAAACAAATGACATGATTGTAGCGTCAGCCAAATAATAATACTAAATGACATTTCAATACATGCAACTTAATTACAGTTGTAAAGTTCAAGGTTTGTCAAAAATTGTATAAAAATAATTATGTAAATGAATGATACATAACGGGTTACATCTAATATATAAAATTCTCTTACTTGCTTGACCGATTTTGACGAAATTTTTTGTGCTTATCCGGTATCTATGAGAATCGGGCAACATCTATTTTTCATCCCCCTAAATGTAGGGGTAGTCCACCCCTAAATATTTTTTTAATTTTTTACACAAAATTTTTAATTTCTATTTTTTTATGATACAACATACAAAAATATATACAATCTTCAATTTTCACCCTTCTACGAAATTACCTCTATTTATATGGCAAACAACGTTTGCTGGGTCAGCTAGTCAAATACTAAAAATAGGTTTGATAAAATATATAAGAGAACAAAATTGTCACGCACCAGTGGCATCAATTTTATTGAAACGAATCTTACATACTTTTGGGCGGTTTATATGCAATTCCTGCGTTCTTAAAACTACTTAAACCTTATTTAGTTTCTTTTACTTGTTCACAGGCTCCTCAACCACCTCTACCATGGAAAGGTATCCGGAGTGCGAAGGAGTTTGGATCAATATGCTACCAGAAAGATTTCGAATCGCAAACCAAGACCACAGGAAGCGAAGACTGTTTGTTCCTCAACGTTTATACTCCAGAATTGAAACCCCAAAATCCTCTACCCGTAATGTTCTTCATCCATGGCGGAGGATTCTACTCTGGCAGTGGCAACGACGACATGTACGGTCCAGAGTTCCTCATCCGGCAAGGAGTCATTCTAGTCACAATCAACTACAGACTTGAAGTACTGGGTTTTCTTTGTCTAGACACTGAAGAAGTACCGGGCAATGCAGGAATGAAAGATCAAGTTGCTGCTTTACAATGGGTTAATAAAAATATTTCAAACTTCGGTGGTGATCCCAACAATATCACGATATTCGGTGAGAGTGCTGGCGGTGCAAGCGTCGGCTACCATTTAGTTTCACCCTTGACCAAAGGTCTTTTTCAAAGAGCGATTTGTCAGAGTGGAATCACAACTTGCTGGTGGGCTAAAGTTTTTGAACCTCGATTGAGAGCACTAGCATTAGCAAGACAATTAGGATATAATGCGGAGAAAGATGGTGAAGACCTCTATGAATTTTTCAAATCTCAACCAGTTGAGAAACTCGCTGGAGTAAAAGTACCATTATTTTACTCAGAACAACATCGAGCTAGCTTCGAATTATATTTTGGCATTGTAAGCGAAAAACAATTTGGCAACAATGAATATTTCTTTCATGGTAATATATTTGACTATTTGAAGAATGGAATCCATGAAGGTGTGCAAGTTATTACTGGCTATACTGCAGATGACGGTGTCCTACTACATGTGTTTGACAAAGATGGAAAAATGTTAGAACAAGCCAATGAATTAGATACCTTTTTTACTCCCAGACATATTGCATTGAATTGTTCTTTAAAAGAACAAATTGAGGCCGGACATAAGATTAAAAAATTTCTCATGTGTAACGAAGATATAGACACAGACTGTGAAAGACTGAGTCGCTTTCAAACTACAGAAATGTTTTTATATGGAATCATAAAATGGATGAAAATTTGCTCACAAAGAAATAAGACTTATCTTTATAAATTCACATGTAAGAGTGAAAGAAACGCTGCAGTCCGCTTGATGGGACTGGAAGCTGTGACACAAGGTAAAGAAGTAGCTTGTCACTTGGATGACTTGTTTTATATTTTCAACAGTAAGATATTAGATGCAAAAGTCGATATGGATTCGAAAACGTTCCAAATGATCGACAATGTGACAAAATTATGGACAAATTTTGCTAAATATGGGTAAGTAATATGAGCTCAAATATAAATCGTATTATTTTTGTTTTTAACAAACCATTAACATTACATACATTTATTAACAGAAATCCAACGCCCGATGACAGTCTTGGTGTAAAATGGAACCCTTACACATTGGACAAAGAAGAATATTTGGACATCGGCAATGACCTCCAAACTGGATCTGCGCCGGATCGCGACGAGTTTTTATTTTGGGAGAGTATCTTTAAAGAATTTACTCCTGAATATGTCGATAAAGTTTATTAATACTGATGTTCATAATAATATGATACTCATTTAATTTTATAGCGCCTTTTATTTTCAAAACGAAAGAGTAGAATATACATCCGCACATTGAGATACAAATATTATTTCCAATTCTCATTATTCACCACTATCTATCTATGTAGAAGAGCAAAGCGCATTTAGCATTAGGCTTTTTAATAACAACTGTTTGTTTAACTGGGTCTCGAGAACGATTCCCGGACCAGAGAAAAGTGTAGTCCCCTAAACTGGGAATAAACTCTTTGTGCTTACGACGATAAGGTCTATATCAGCTTGTTTGTTAAATAAAACTTTTTAATACGTCTTTACTCGAACAATATTTATTGCACACAACTTTCTTTACAATTCATTCTAGATGAGTGGAGTGTATGAACATAATTTGAATGTGTATGAAGTATGACTGTGTGCGTGAAAGGTTGCTACTAAGGTGATGTGAACTTAATCTTTGGAATGAGCAAAACTGTAGGACAGACATAGAGAGACACACAAATGAAATAAAATAATTAATGTAAAACTATACACTAATTTGTTCCATGTATCGTAAAACTGTTCTGTATGAAGGTGAGGTATCGAGACTAAGCCGAATGACACAACTGTGCTCATTCCGTGACCTCGTGCCACGGGGTGACCTAATTCCTATCAGGGTTCCACATTCCAACGATATCGACAGCTTAATACTTATCTAGTTATACTTTTATTATGTAAATCTATTACGAAGTGCGCAATAATAATATTTCATCACGAATTTAATTTCTCTAAAGGTCCACATAATTTAGTGAAATACATAAATCTGGTTTTTACCAGTAATCTAATGTGACAGTAGTGTTGTACGGCGATGCAGATTTAGGAGAAACATTTGTTTAGCAGTTATAAAGTCTACCTGCTGATAATAGTGATGATGGCATTATGTCTGATTTCATAGATTAGGTCATAGACATTCAGTTTATTATGCATTCTATTGAGAATTATCGTGAGTATGTGTGTTACTTTGACTGGTTACGACTTGATAGTCAATCTATAAATCCAAATAAATATAATCTGTCTACAGAAAGGCTCTATAATCATCAAGACACAGATGTCAAAATGTTGTCTATACTTAAATAACAATTAAAATAAGATTTGATTAATGCAAGGAAATGACCGAACGTATTAATTACAGATAAAAAAAGAATCCCCCAAACACTCCTCTCTCAATCGAAATTCTTATAACCTTTGTCTTAGTCATAACAGTTAGTCACTGCATTCGCATTTTTATCATAACCAATCTTTAGTTTGAATCCCCCCGTGGCCTTGGTCGCGTCGGGTCAATACACTTTCTGCATTGCATCTTATCGCGGTTCCGAATTACGCAAAAGTATCCATTACAAAACATAAAACGTAACGTGGAAGCATAATATTATCAACATCACCGTAATTTTATTTTAGTCATGGAGTTACAGAAATAACAAAAATAAATCGGTATGTTTTTGATTCCGTAACATTGAAAAATCAACGTTCATACTTCGAGATAAGATAACAATTAAAATAAATCCTAATATTGTATCACAAATACACCGTCAATGTCAATAAACAACGCGTGTGATCTCTATCCAAACAACTACTACAAAAACCGGCAAAACTAATAGCTCGGTAACAATCAGATATAACTAATTTTTAATCTTATTACTATCGCGGTAGGTTACATTATCAAATAGAAGATAACACTGAATGGTTTGGTTGTTTTGCACAAATTGGCGGGAGTGCCAGTTTTATTTCAATCCCAGACCGTTGCGGACGGTGTCCTGAGAGCACAGTGCCGGCCTGAGGATGGTGCAAGTGAGAGTTAATGAGGGTCTGCTGGAGGGAGAGCGAGTGGACAACGACTACGGAGGCTCCTTCTACAGCTTCAAGGGAATACCATATGCACAGCCACCTGTCGGGGATCTGCGGTTCAAGGTATACATATAATTTATTACGACCAGTCAAATAAATTATTTTTTTTAATACAATTGTTCTGTATAAGTTATGAACAATTAGACAGATCAATAAATTAACGTACAAAATAAAAAAATAACTTCTTAGGTCATGATTAAAATAATAAATCAATGTAAAATATATTTTAATCATAATGCTAAATTAAAATGCGTCTTATTACATTCATGCATCGTTTCAATAGTTAATACATATATTATTAATTTAGCTACCTACCGAAGAGACGTAAGGAAAATCTTTTAAATCATAATTATGGTACCTAATACATTTACTTCATTCTCTTTGATCACATATATCACAACTATTAAGTGAATGAAATTAGGTAAGTGATTAAACATAATTTTCCTTCCTTATAGGCGCCGCTGCCTCCAAAGTCATGGGATGGAGTTCGTTGCGCCAAAGAATTTGGCCCAAGATCCTTTCAAAATGACATATTAATGAAAACCGGACTAGTTGGCGATGAAGACTGCTTGTACCTGAACGTGTACACACCCGAGATCAAACCTGACAAGCCTTTACCAGTAATGTTATGGATACATGGAGGAGGCTTCTATTGTGGCAGTGGTAACGATGACCTTTATGGTCCAGAGTTCCTAATTAGGCACGATGTCATCCTTGTCACCATCAACTACAGAGTAGATGTACTCGGTTTTCTTTGTTTAGATACAGAGGATATTCCTGGCAACGCAGGCATGAAAGATCAGGTACAAGCTCTTAGATGGGTGAACAAAAATATTGCTAGCTTCGGTGGTGACCCTAAAAACATAACCATATTTGGCGAAAGTGCCGGTGGGAGTAGTGTTAGTTATCACTTAATATCTCCAATGTCAAAGGGCTTGTTTAAAAGAGCCATTGCTCAGAGTGGAGTCTCCACTTGCGCCTGGGCCCAGGCTATTGAGCCTCGCGAAAGAGCTTTAGCATTAGCTAGAAGCCTGGGATTTTATTCTGAAGATGATAAGGAACTGTATGAATTTTTTAAGAATCAACCGAAGGAATCACTGGTCGGTGTTCAGTGTCCAGTAGCAACTTTCGAGGCATTCAAGGGGGGACTAGACATATATTTTAATGTTGCCAACGAAAAGAAATTTGGAGATAATGAGAGATTCTTTTATGGAGACATGCTTGATGTAATATCGAATAGTGTTCATGAAGGAGTCGAGATTATGATGGGGTCGACTACAGAGGAAGGTCTTATTTCCTATGCAGACTCAGAGGATATTATGAAGACTTTGAAATTGGCAAAAATATACCCAGAATACTTCGTTAATAAATTAGTAGCATTTTCTTTACCCTTGAAGCAGCAACTAAAAATTGGAAAAGAAGTTAGAAAGTTTTACTTCAATGACCAAATCAACGTGCCAGATGATTGGGACAAATTGATTAATTTTACTTCGATGCAGAATTTCGTCTATCCTGAAAGGCAGTGGGCGAAGCACTGCGCTCAAGGGAAGAAACACAAGCTGTTTTTGTATAAATTTTCTTGTAAAACCGAAAGAAATTTCATAGCGAAAATGAGAGGTATGACAGAAATGTTGGGGAATAGAGAAGTTACGTGTCACGCTGATGAACTTCCGTATCTTTTTAACTTTAAAATGATGCCAACAAAACTAGACACTGCTTCTGAGACGTTCCAGTTGATGGAAAGACTGATGAAGCTATGGACTAACTTCGCTAAATACGGGTAAGTGGCTATATAAGTATTAAGTATAATAAATTACATTACATTTCATAACCTTACGCCTGTCTCCCATGGGGGCAGGCAGAAGCTATGGAACCCCAATTGTTAAGATTCTTACATACCTCTTTCGCTTTCATGCATGCTCGTCAGTTAAGAATAAAACAATATTTAATCAAGGTTTGAGGCGTCAGAACGAAAGTAGCAATAACTTGCCATTGCTCTTCAAATTAGAAACAACTGATATGTACCGATATCATAATTTATTATTCGATTCTCACATTTCACCGTTAGGACAAAGATCTATGATCCAATGACATTATACTTCATATTACATGACCATATTTCTCTTTACGTGATTTTCTACAATTAAAAGCAAAATAATGTTATTCTTTATCTTTCATGTTTCGACATCATTTGATGGAAGTGCTGTCTAAACATGATGTATCTAATGTTATCATGCGATATTATACATTAACAAGTCTTTAACCGGTAGAGTCTACTTAATTGCGACCGCTTATAATAGGAGAGAGGGCAACCAAGTAAAAGATCAGGGCATATCCTAAAACTACAACCTAAAAATTAACAATCCCCAAACCGTCTGCCTCCCGTAACCTTGTATTATTTGTAATTATTTTTTATTGGTAATTAGGCCTCCGGTAACCTTGTTTCACGTCGGGTTTCTGTGAGGCCTTGGTATCACTCCAGTCGAGCCGGCCCATTCATGCCGAAGCGCGGCTCTCCCACACTTAACATGTAAAATACTTTTATCCTCTCAATACCGCTGCAACTTCTGCAAGCCAGGATCTATAGTAGATATAACCATGAGAATACCGGAACACGAACTCCGGCGCGTCCCAGGAACATATATAAACTGTCTTTGATAAAAGTATACAAGTTGTCACAGTGTAATGACTATCTCTTTCACAGAAACCCCACGCCTGACGATTCACTGGGAGCTAAGTGGGTACCGTACACCCTGGAAAACCAAGAATATCTGGACATTGGAAACGAACTGAAAGCGGGCACCGCGCCTGATGCTGAGGAAACACAGTTCTGGGATAAATTATATGAAAAATATGGACTGTAATTTTAACCTATAACTGACAAAAGTGTTCCGTGAACTGTATATTAGTTTTAGTACAAGGAAATATGTAACTAATTTTGCAATAAACATAACCATCATAGTATCCAACATATATTTCTCCATTTTGTGATATTTTTTGTGATAGCACAAAAATTCCGAAAAGTGGATTCAAACTTAAACTGTCAAACACCGAGCGGTCACCGGTGACCGCAACCTATTGTTCTTTAATTGTGTCTAAAGAGTTAAAAATTCGGATGATTTAAAAGTAGGTAAGCTCAAACGAAAAAATCAGAAATGATCAAAAAAAGATGGATCCTATATTTAATTAGTGCACCTTTACTGAAGGGATCCATTTAAGAAATTAATAGGACTAAATGTATTACCAGCATGTTAAAAAAACGTTACGAAATGCAGCTTAATCTATCCGTAAAGTTAGTAGCAACAATATTGATTTCTATCTATATCTAAACATAGATAAATTTTATAATTATCCAAAAAAAACTGTTAAGTCAGCGTGATGCAGACATCTAATTTTTGTTTTTACTTGTGATCACAGATTTTGTGAACCAATTATATTAAGCGGAAGAGTTTGTTTTTTTTTTGTTTGTTTATTTGAACGCGCTAATCTCCGTAACTACAAGTCTAATTTGAATAATTATTTTTGTGTTGGATAGCGCATTCATCGAGGATGGCTATAGGCTATAAAACATCACGCTACCACCGCTTCGGCTGGAGCAGATG